AGGTGCCTGATTAGAAAATGCTATTGATTATTTGCATCTGAATATATCAGCATAAGACTATTTTTTAAAAATAGCATCTATTTAATAGTGGTGTGTGCGTGTGTGTGTGTGTGCGTGTGTATATATACACACATATACTCACATGTATTTTTATTTTGAAAGGAAAAAAATACACAATATATTTTGGTGTGGCCACTTACAAAAAGGTAAGAACACTAAAAGCAACTCCTGTTGATGTCCATATGTCTGAGCTTTAAGAAGACATTCTCCATACATTTTTATTATAATTATTGTTAGTACTTTTCTTATTACATGATTAAATCTTTTCATACTGATATTTCTGTCAGAGCACAAAAGAAGAGTAAGTATAAATTAGATTTTAACTCTTCCAGGACAGATTGTCTTTTACCTTTTATTTGTATGCTGCAAAACACTTAGCTTATAACATTTGGAGTAACCTAACATTAAAAACAATAATAGAAGAAACAAAATGATTATATGTTCCACAGATTGACTCAAATTAGGAAAAAAAAAGATGGAAAAAGCTGCAAGTCTGACTAAAGGCAGCATGCATCATGAGAAAAGAATATTTTTTGCCAAGAATGCACATGATATTCAATTATATGTTCTTTACACAGGTGCTTTAGAAAAGGAGCTGGGATGAAAATAAATACTTGGCAGAAAAACAAGTCCTTTGTGTAAGGCTAATAAGCTCCATTAATACAACAACAGTTCTCTCTCACATCAAGAAAGAACATTTGTATCGGTAAAGATGCCTTCTCACGCCAGTCTTGCGCTCTTCCTCCTCCAAGCCCCTTTCTGCCCACTGCATCCTGCCTCCAGATCCCCTCCTTACACCCGCAGCCTCGTTTGGGAGGCCCTGCCTTGGAGCCAGCCTGCAAACCGCGCCACTAACATGCGGGTCACCGACCGCACGCAGGGCACGTGGAGGAAACACCACTAAACAAAACAACACAACGCAACACAACAGAGAAGACAGGAGGAGAGGTGAGCGAAGAGCATGAGCAAAACAGCACATGTTTCCTCTCCGCCGTACTCCAAGCGGCTGAATCATTTTGTTTTTTTCCAAACAATGCAGCCTGAGACACCAGGCATGGAAAATTTCATTGCAAATTATTCGAATCTGGCAAAAAAAAATATGAGCAAGTGTGAACAAATGTGCTGCCAACACAGTGAAAGGAACAGCCTCACCTGCAATGGAAGAGGATCATTACTGCTCCGACTGGCATATAAACGCATAAACTATACACTATATACACATTAGGGACCCATGGTGATCAGGGTCAGCAGCAGTACAAAGTAAGCACATTCTATAGATAAAACTTTCTCAGGTGCAGCTCTGCCTTTAAACACTGTCACTAAATGTAACCTCAGAATAGTTCTTCTATATACTTGAATACTTATGTTTTAAGCACACTGATTATTATCTCTACTAGCTTTAAGCCTCAAGGTGCTCACAGCTCATATGGGAACGTATGAATTATTCATATAGAGCTTCTGTTCATTTAAAAAAGAAAAACATGACAAATAAGGTGTATTCTTCATCTGAATTTGCACAAAAGAATTCCGATAACTTACAAACACCACAAAATTCTAAGATTCCTGAATTACTGGATTAATATTTGCCAGACAGAGAAGAAATTAGTTCAAATTAATGCAGTAAAACACAAGGCATGGGGAAAACTAAATAGTAAAGGTTGTTGGTAGGACATCATGGATTTTCTGAAAGGGCTTCTTAGGGTATTTTTTGTTCCTTTCTTTGCTGACACTACGAATTCAAGAAACAAGCTCCATCCATTTTTTTAGTAATAAAACAGAAACTGTAACAGAAAAAAAAATCTAAAACACACTGGGAACTTAAAAGCTAAGTTGGAGTTGGAACTCCAACTACAAAACTACAGTTTATGAGAGCTGTAACTTAGCTACCGTATGGTGGCAGCAAACATGCATTTCAGCAAGCTCTGCAAGAGCACCAGACTAGTCCTTCTGGCAGGCGCAGCAAGAGCACGTGCAAGGAGTTCAGTGACATGAATGAAACCACTGACCTGCTCTGGTTACAGCCACTTCAGAAAAACAGCAGAGCACAATTTCTATTACAAACAGCACCTTATTAGCTAGCACCTCCAGCTCTGCAAGGCTGGTGTTTCTTTCCATCTATTAGCACAGAATAGTCAGCAAGCAAAATACTTTGATTACCTAGCCACTTTGGGATGGAGTGATTCATAAATAATATTGGCACTAGAGTATAATGAGTTGGTACAGGCTTTATCTTAACTGGTAGCCAGCTTACTACACTGCCCTAACCTACTAGGAACATAAATGGGAAAGACAAAATGTGATGATCCACCCCATGCCCATACAAGCATTAACACACACTAGAAAAGAGAAGCATATGAGATGTTTGCTGAACCATATGCTGTTATTGCAGAGTATTTTCCATCAGCAAATTCTGTTATGGTCTCCAGTCCCAGGCAGACTTTAGGCTAGATAGAGCATCACCTATATCAGTACTGACTACTGTCTTAATGGAGCCCAGTAATTGGTCAGGATGAAATACAGCCCTTCAAAGGTAGCCAAGCAAAAGCCTATACCCTCAATCAAGAAACCCATAGGTAGTGAGTATTATTCTTTAAGCTATACTTGGCACAAAGTAATTGCTTTCATTTTGGTAAAATAACACTGCATTCATTGGACAATAAACCTGGATACAAAATGAAAGTTTGTTCCCCGTTTTCATTAAAATTTTAGCAGACCTTGAAACCCACACATTTTTTTTCCATGTTTGGATACACTTAATTTTACAGAAGAGCCTAGATTCTACATCATGAGATTTGTAGCAGCAATTTTAAAAGAACGATTCATTTAGGTTTCTGAAAAAAAGAACATAATGGGCATTACTCAAAGGAATCGATGGCGCAGCTATAGCAGTCCTCATTATGTACATATGAGATGCTTCAATGTTCCTTGCTGCTGATTACATGAGTAAACACTTTCAGTTTGAAAAATCCTATTAACTCAAAGGGATTTTGCATAATTTTATAACAGCTCCATTTGTGGTGTCTGACCAACTAGGTCAGCAAAATAAAGACAAATGGCAAAGAATTAATTCTAATGCTGCTTTCTGCAGTGCTGCCATTACAGTTTTCTCTACTCACTGCATTTGTAAAACAATACATGATAATGAACAGAAAGTCTTTAACCCATCATGGCAGGACACAGGCCACTGCTAAGTGCATTTCCACAGCTAAGTCTTTCTTTGGATATTATTTTTTTCTATCTCCTGTGCTCCTTCCTTCCTATGCTGCTTTTATTTGGTTTAGGCCAGCCATCCTTTCCTTCAAGGAGCCTTAAAACCATCAGCAATACCTGCTACAAAGGTTTTCTTTTCTGTCTTCTCTATACTTTCTTGTACTAAGAGCAACAGCAAGAATGCTGCCACAGTCAGTACAAAGAGAAAGACAAATGGAGATTATTCAGCTTTTCACATACCAATCCCAAATCAAAAGGGAAATTGCCAAGGAGTAAAAGAATAAAATAAGGTAATTCTCAAGAGACTATACTGGAACCTATCCATCCAATTAATCCAATCTCTTTTTCATTTTGTAATCAATCAGTTTTCAGAGTCATTTAATATTAGTTTGTCTCAATTACTATTTCCTTCTCCATAATGCTAATGCACAGAACTAAATATTATCTAATACTTGGCAAATGCGTGCTTAGTATACTTAGATGGCAAACTATTTGCATTCTGAAAATGATATCTAAAATCACATTATTAATGCATTGTTTCCTTAATTTTGGGAAAAGGTCCCAAGAGAAAACAACGAATTTTGGCTGCAATTTGCAGGCAGAACTCAACTCTTCAGAGTCACAATTTATGCCCAGAAAATGGGCATGGCTCATATTCTAGTTCACTTACCAAAGCATGACAGATAGGAAAGTTTTATTTGAATTACAGAATTATCTGAAATGGGGCAAGGATGTGAAGGAAAAGATATAACAACATGTAAAAGCAAAACAGGATTTCTTTTTGCTGAAAGAATACTCAAGTTTGAGAAATAGTCTCTTTACGTTTCTCAACCAGACAGTTCCTTTATAATATGCTGTGCCACAACCACAAGCACTATTTTCTGTACCTAAAGTAGAAGTCTTTGCATTCCTTTATCTTAAAACATTAAAGCCTTCACCTCAGTTTCTCACATGTCAGTCTACATTATGAATGTTCCATTGAAATCCAGCCCAGCTGAGACTATATCAGAAATGAGAGCTTAAGGTTATCAGAAGTTACCTGACATCTCTTTCAGTGATTTTCTTATATTTTAAAATCTTAATTAAAATTCAGAAATACTTTAATATGAGAAAATGATGGGGAAAAAAACACATCTAGGCTTTTACTAGTCCAAAGAAAGATTTCATATTCTTTTGGTGCTGCACACAAGAGCCTCAGCATTCATCACTAGCAATATATCCAATACATTCAGCCCTGTGCCTGAAACATGCCCCAGATCTTTGGTCTCACACCACAGCATGAAGTAAACATGGCAGAGCTGATCCATAGCTGAGTCAACAGGAACTAAGTAAAGCTTGGCTGGGTAGTCAGCATTAGATGTTAGTTCTGGCACAGAGTAAGGAAGGTTTGGCAACAATATTTTAGCTTTCCACCTTAAAAATCAGCTCTGAGATCCTGGGTTCATGGTAAAGAAACAGATTCAGGTTACAAAGCTTGCAATGAATCTAAATTAATCTAAAAGGGGGACAACATGTGGTTATTGCAGGCCATTTTCACTTGTATTATGTAGACACCACATTTTTGGTTAGGACAGTTTTCTTGCTTTACAGCCATTTTCAGCCTTATGCAGTGCAACTTTTCCACAAAAAAAATCAAGTCCAGATGTTAATAAAAATCAAGAGATTTTCTTTTTATTATTGCTGGGGGGGAAGAAGGAGAAATATTTTGGGTTTTGTTTTGTTTCTTTTACCTGGAATGGAGACTGACTGTTGTAATTCTTAATCTCCTTGTTGGCTCCCCGGAATAGCAGCACTCTTGCACAGCTCTCCTGAAAAGTGCAGAGGAGTAAACTGGTTAATTATTTCAAGAGCCTGTTTTATTTTATTCTATATTGAACAAATTGGAGTTTGTGGAAAATGTGTTAGTTCAAAATGGAACTCAAAGCTCATGTGGCTCTCTGCAGAGAAACTAGTACTGCTTAAGGTACAGTAAACAGTATCCACAAGGATGAGCCTGTAAGCCTACTCCTAAAAAGCAAACAAAACATTTTACCACTTGTATGTACTTATTCTGATTTTTTTCCAACTATCTTCAATGCTAAAGATTTAATGTATGTAACACTGATTTTTTGCGTCTGGATTTTGGAAGGTGTTATTTTTTGTTTGTTTGTTTTAAAGAAAAAATGCCTGAAAATAAGTGGGCTGGCTATACATATTGTACTAACCAGCCTTGACTTGTCTCTTATCCTTAAGAAATACTAAAACTTGCAGCGCAAATTCAATATAGTTTTATTTCTTCTGGTGATAAGAAAAAAAAAAGTATGAGGTCAAGTTCTCTGAATTGATAAAATCTGTAAATGAAATCCTGTAAGATCGATTTCTTTTTAGATTGATACACTGTATTGCTTAAGTCACTAGTGCAGTTGTAAAATATGGCTGACTATAATCTGCTAGAAATTCTCTGTAGTTCTAGCATGTTTCTCAGAATACTAGACTTTCTCATGATCCATATATAGCACTGTATTTCCTGTATGTCACATTTAATGTTCACCATACGATCTTATGGAGAACAGTTCACACTTCTAAGTGTTTTTGTATTTCCTTTTTATAAACAGTTTATTAATTTTGTTGTGCTTTTCCAATTTCTAGTCATGTTATGGAGTTCCACCAAATAAGATATTTTATTGTGCTACCTTTCATTTCTAATGGCAAATGCACAGCCAGAAAAAATAAACACATAATTTTACTATTTTAGCGACATAAATGAAACTTATTTACTAGACTCTGAGTCATAAGTGAAAATGCAGAGATTATCTTTAAAAATAATCTTCCTCATTGTGTTTTCCAGTTGATCAGGACAGATTCCTATTCCCATTAAGTCTCCTCATCACGAGGTTTTCCTAAATACATGTGGAAAGGAGGCCAAGATTCAATTTTCCAAAAAGATGTCTCTGTCAGCCCACTTCCTATTTTGCATTATTGACTGAAACAACAGAATAGGTCATATCTCAAGACATGATATTAAAAATCACCACAAATACAGGATTTTTTAATGGCATACAATTAACTGATGTGTAAAAGGTCATAATGTTTTTCATTTTCATCCCAGAATCTTTATTCAAAAAATATAGTCATAAGATCTGTCTAGATTTCCTTGAGGGAAAATAAATATGAAAATAAAATAAAATGAAAAAAAAAATCAGATCAGCATGTAGCTGACATTCACAAACACAGAATTACTGACTACAAAGGTATTTTGCAAAAATTCCCCAAGGAAGAAGAGAAGGCAAAATCGAATGGGTAATGACTCCATCTACAGGAACCAAGAGGTAAAAAGGCTACCGCTGTCTTTTCCATTCTCTCCATCCAGAAAAAGTCACCCAGTTCCCTCTGTGTTAGCTAATACCGGCCTTCAAGAAAAGGTAGCATGCTGAAATAGTCAGAGATCATAGTTCACAGTGCCCAAGAAAAATTATCAACTTTTTGTATTTACATTCCCCTGATTCTAGAAAATGGAGTCATGATATTGTGGTCAAGATGATGTTAAACACCCAGTTACAAGGTCAAGCCTAGAAGCTATAAAAATATCTGAAGGAATTGTAGAAGAAATTTCAATGTGAGACTCTTGTGTTGTATAGAATATTTTTTTCCATTGAGATGAGAAGGAAAGCACATCTCTACCTAAAAAAATATCGTGTTGCACAGGATTATTTCAATTTCTTCATCACACTGTGGAATCCTGGCTAAAAGTATGTGCTATAACCAAGCAAATACTTCAATAAAATGATAAAAAACAGAGATAAGCTCCATTTTTTCAGTTCATATGTGAATTACCATCCAGACTTGAAAATTATTGCTCAGCAAAAGTAAAGTTAATGAAATTTAAGTGAATACTTATATATGTTTTCAACAGAAATGACCATGGATACAAACTTACAGTATTAAGTTCCTGATGTGAGGTCTATATGCCAAATTTTTGTTGACATCAAGGTCAACTTCATTTCTCTGCAAATCTCTCTAGGAGTTTAGACAACTGTCAACATACTAAAGCTTTGTATACCTACCATCCCAGAAATGGTCTGAATTAGGCACAGGGCCCCCTTACAAATCATCAGTGAGCACAGGTATTTAAACTGACGTGTTGAAGTCAGCTGGTACCCGGCGAGCAGCAAACAGGCCATGGAGAAATGGCTCCCCCAGGCCCGCTCAGCACTGCAGTCAATAACCAGCACTGATAGGAATGACTGGCAGGACTAGTCTTGTGAATTGATATCAATTATGACATACACATCAAAGCAACAATCTTGAAAGACATTGAATTATTCCAAAAATTGTCTTTTCAAAGAAGCTGAGGCTATTTTAGATATATTAAAGGAATCTGCTTTGACAAGGCTTTTTCATCCGAGACGGTAGTTAATTAGGAAGCAGATGCTATAACAGATGTTTCGGTAGTTACAATAGTGTCTCATGACTTGCATTTTTCTAACATTGTATGTGCTGTGTTTTAACAAACTTATAAAACTCGTTCCCTTTCTATCCGATCCATGCAAAGAGTAAAAAATGCTGTCAGATCAAAACTGTTCTGTTATTTGCAAATGGCTACACAAGCTGTACACAGTACAGAAACAGACACCTGTGTAATATTTAGATATATTTACACATTATTTGCTAGGTACTTATTACTTAATTCTTGGCAATTAAGGCAAAGCCTTGGCAAGACAGCATGAAATTCTGAGTAGAAAGTATATAGATATGGTAACAAAAAAGTGAATCCAGTAATGCATTCTAACATTTTATTTTCAAATGAAAAGTGTAATCTTGGTATTTACAATAAGCAGCTTTATTTGTAATCAGTCACTAAAGCACTAATAAAATAAAATAATTCTTAATTAGGTTCCTTCTATTTTTTTTTTAATAATTGTTTAAAAGTTGTATTAATAATGAAACAAATTCTTCTCTAGCGTAACTGGCCTCTGTAGATTCATACCAGTAGGAAACCTAAATTAAAACGTATTTAATAACAGTGAGGAAAACGAGAGCTCGGGAAAAGCTAACACCTAACTTCTTCAATAGACTGAAGAAAGCCGTTGTTTACCTGCATTGATATTGAAGATTTCAGGTTGATTTGTACCTCTGTTATGTCTTTTTTTCTTGGCTACATGTCACACTCGACGCTGCTTTTCTGCCCCCACTGCACTGGACTCACCGTCTCCCAGCTACCAGCACAGAAAGGACAGGGAGCCTCTGACCCCAACACCACCCACGGTGAGGTCTGGCCCACGGCTGCCGCTGGGAACCTGCCTGCCCACGTTGCGATGCTCCTGCTTGGGACGGTGCAAGGCGGGCTCACCTGGTTGTACAGGGCGCAGATATGCAGCGCGGTGTTTCCCGACGCGTTCTGCGCACCCATGTCGGCTCCGTAGAAGAGCAGGTGCTCCAGGTGCTGGACGTGCCCATAGCGACAGGCCTGAAGAGAGAGGCATTCGTGCTTTTGGTTAGCATACAGCTCAGCTGTAGCATGTAAGCGTGACAGATAAGCATTTTTTAACACAGAAGATTTGATTTTACTTAGGACCTAATTTTTAGGACCACCTCCAAACTGGATAGGAAGCCTAAAGCCAAGATCTGCAATAATTAATGTTCTTCAGGTGCAGCAAGTCATATACATGAGTACAGCATATGTTTGGGGAAATTCAATGTAAAATATCAAGAAAATACAAAGTTTACAACTCTTCACCCATTAATACTTGCAGCTGTTTAATGTGACAGGCAAACTGACAGAACACGATTTTTTTTGGTCCTGCAAATTTGGGGAAAGTTGTCCACTAGATGGCATTGAAGATGAACGGATTTCTGAAGCCTGCTTTTTAAGGTGTGAGAACAGCTGGGGGAAATCTGGTCCAAATAGTTCAAATAGATTCCATGGCGTCAGTAGAAGTACAGTACATACAGGCCATTTAATCAAAGAGAAAACAATCATTAAGTTATACTGTCAGACACCCAAATAAAATGTTAGACATTAAACAGTTTGAAATAAATATTGAAATCATTGCAAATCAACCTTAATGGAATAAGTCTGCTGAAATGTGAAACTTTCCTGATTTGCAAATAGATTTAGAGAAAATTTAGAGAATTCCATTCATCAGTTATCTGCTGATCTTCTTTCTTGCTCACACCAAATGAGCATCTCCCAAACCGTAATGTTTTTACTTCTGGACAGAGAGGGGGATATATCTGCCCTAAGTACAGTAGCCTGTACCTTAGGTGAGCTGTCTAAGCTATTTGCAAGGGTACCCCTCAATAGTCCATGGAAAAGGCAGGTATCTCCATTTTATTCATGTTCCTTCACAACACGGACCACTCCCAGAAGGTACTTCCTTCTCTCATTTCCTATAAAGATAACCAAGAGCCTCAAGTCCTGCAGGGAA